ATGACCCAGCAATTGCACTAATAGGTATTTACCCAAAGGATACAAACATAATGATCTGAAGGGGCATATACACACCCATGTTTATAGCACTAATGTCTGCAATAGCCAAACTATGGAAAGAGCCCAGATGTCCATCAACGGATCTATCTATATATCTATCTTCTTTATATATATGTGTGTGTGTGTATAGCCATCAAAGAGAATTAAATATTGCCATTTGCAATGACATGGATGGAACTAGAGGGTAGTATGCTAAATGAACTAAGTCAGTCAGAGAAAGACAAATACCATGTGATTTCACTCATATGTGGAATTTAAGAAACAAAACAAATGTACATAGGGGAAGGGAAGGAAAAATAAAATAAGACAAAAACAGAGAAGGAGATAAATCATAAGAGACTTAACTCTAGGAAACAAACATGGTTGCTAGAGGGGATGTGGGTCGGGAGGATGGGGTAGCTGGGTGATGGGCATTAAGGAGGGCACTGAATTGAAGTAATGAGCACTGGGTGTTATATGCAACTGATGAATCACTAAATTTTACCTCTGAAATTAATAATTGTAAGTTAATTAAATTGAATTTAAATTTTTTTAAAAAGGAGGCCATCTCATGTGGCCATTTCATGTCAGTGTGAACCATGAATGTAGTGGGGGTTCCAAGCCCATAAGCCTGGTGGGAGAAGAGGGCAAGAAGAGGCCAGCTGCAAAGAATATACTTAGATCTGGAGCTAAAGCCACAGATGTGAACTCTCCGCTAAGACCTTGTGCAAGGCCCCACTAATTCTCACATTCCTGGACTCTCAGGGATTGTGAAACTCTCTACTGATTGCTCAATGCAATTTCCTTCTCAAAAGTTCAGATGACATTTCAACCAACAGACATTTATTTCCTGAAATATTGACACCATTCTGTCTCCAGTGCCTGGTCCATACCTGATACATGGAAAGCACTCACTAAACAATTGTCAAATAGGGGCGCCTGGCTGGGTCAGTTGGTGAAGCATGTGATTCCTGATTTCAGGGTCATGACTTCAAGCCCCATGATGGGTGTAGAGGTTACTTAAAATTTTTTTTAATGAGTTAAATTTTAAAAACAGTTATCAAACAAAAAGGTGCAGAAGGAAGAACTCTACCCACAGCAAATCTCTTTGGAGCTCAGTCTTCCCAACTGTGCAATGGGATGATACTAACAAATCAGCCCCTCTGAGAATTGTGAGATTATGGGTGTAGAAGAGCTGGAAAAAGAACAAATGAGGGGCACCTGGGTGGCTCAGTGATTGAGTGTCTGCCTTGGCTCAGGTCATAATCCTGGGGTACTGGAATTAAGTCCTGCATCAGGCTCCCTGCAGGGAGCCTGCTTCTCCTTCTACCCATGCTCTGGCTCTCTCTGTATGTCTTTCATGAATAAATAAATAAAATATTTTAAAAAGAACAAATGAGTTATATCCCTTACAACTGAGAACACTGAATTGAATCTGAGGGGCACCTGGGTGGCTCAGTCGGTTAAGCATCTGCCTTCCGCTCAGTTCATGATCCCAGAATCCTGGGATTGAACCCCTCATCAGGCTCCTTGCTCAATGGGGAGCCTGCTTCTCCCTCTCCCTCTGCCTGCTGCTCCCCCTGCTTGTGATCTCTCTCTGTGTCAAATGAATAAATAAAATCTTTAAGAAAAAAAAAATGAAACTGAGAAAAAGGTGCAAAGAGCTCCCTGGCCACCAGAATCAATATGTAGTTATAGTGTGCAATTGGAGATACTAGAGGGATGCTTCCTACCCCAAAATCCCCTACAGAACTCCTGAGATAAGTTATATATATATGGCTGCCATATATTAAACTTATTCTGTGTGTTACCCCATCTGCAGAGAGTGCTTCCTATTATCAAGAAAGTGATCATCATGCCAAAAATTCAGCCCAAACTTGTCTAACTGCACAGCCCAACCCCTTATATTGTGTGACTTCCAGATGTTTGGGATTTCCTCATTCATTCCTCAAAGTGAAGGTTTGTGGAAATTCAAATAGATGTGAAAGAGTCAAGTATTATCATGCAACAATGGCTACACAGGAACTAATTTGTAAGGTATTCTCCAACAGTCAACTGACAACAGATCTGGCTGTGCAGAAATCCCTCAACGGTTCACATTTTGGTGGGAAAAGAAAAAGAAGAAAATTAGAGTGCACTGGGTAACTGGTAAGTGCCAGGTGTCCACTCCTAGCTCAAGCTCAGGAGGGCAAGAGAGATTTGGAAGGTCTGACTTCCACCCACGGGTAATAACACTGTCAGCTCAGACACCCTGGTTTAGGTTCAGGATTTGGGCTCTCACTTCCATCCTCAGGGAGAATTTGATTTCCCTCACATGAGGGGATGACAGTGGGAGAAACTAGGGATGCCTGGGTGGCTCAGCGGTTGAGCATCTGCCTTCAGCCCAGGGCGTGATCCTGGAGTCCTGGGATCGAGTCCCACATCGGGCTCCCTGCATGGATCCTGCTTCTCCTTCTGCCTGTGTCTCTGCCTCTCTGTCTCTCTGTCTCTCATGAATAAATAAATAATCTTTAAAAAAAAAAGAGAGAGAGAGAGAGTGGGAGAAACTGTCACATTTCCCACTCTCTGATACTTCCTACCTTCCTCAATGCCACACTCAAGAGAGTGTCTGGAATTTTCTAAATATTTGCATCTTAAAGGGTGCAAAGGAAAATGCTCCAGATGGAATTCTCCATCTGTGATTGATTATAAAAGCCAACTCCTTTCCTGTAAGAAAGGTGTCCTGTGATCCATTAGCAATGTCTGCTCTGGGTGCCATTGGAGGATGACATGGTGTGATCATTTTTGTCCTTCATACCATTGGTTCTAAGTCTTTAAATCACAGACTGTTAAGATTAAAAGCTATCTCAGAGGTCATCTAGCCCAGGGGTCAACCAACGACAGCCCCCAGAGCAAATCCAGACAGCTGTCTGTTTTTTCTAAATAAAGTTTTATTGGAACACAGCCATACATTCATTTATTTATGTATTCTGGGGCTACTTCCCCACTACAAATGCCAGAGTTGAGTAGTTACGGCAGACACCTAAACTTACTGCAAAGCCTAAAATATTTACTCTCCAGTCCTTCACAGAAAATGTTTGCTGACTCCTGATCTAGACCAAATCTCCAGCTTGCAGTAAGGGACTGAGGTCCTCAGGGGCAGGTACAAGTCCTGAGCTGCATAATGAGTTAGTTACATGGCACCAGACTGAGATTTACTAAAGCTGGTTCCTCCCATGCTGATCCCCAGAACCTGTTCGATGTCAGACTCTTCCCCTCCTGACCCCATCTCAACCTCAGATGGATTCACTTAGTCTGCTTCACACACCCTCTGTTGCCTTCTCCTAAATACTACAGATTCACTCATTCGTTAAACGCCTTCACACAAAAAATGGTTTAATGAATTCTTCCTGCATCCAGGTGTGAGGCTAAGCCCTGAGGCTTCAGTGAAGGAGACACATGGAGTCAATACTACATGGTCATTAAGAACCCAAGCAGAGTCAGAGTTCCTTGGGCTGGAAGAAAGTCATGGAACCTCTCTGAGCCTGTTTCCTTGGGTAGCATTGGCTTCTCCTACATTGCTGTGAGTGAAAGGTATTTGGCAAGCACTCAGCACAATGTCTTGTCCTCTCAGAATGGCAGACATGGTTCTCATTACAGTCAGCACCATGTACACTGGTACACAGGGAGGCACTACAGCCTCAGACCTCGGGTCCAGACCTGGCCTGCTCTGCCCCACTAAATGCCCAACTGAGCCTTCAGGACAGAGCTGCTTCTAGGATGCCTTGTTGGGGGAAGGATCTGGGCAAGTATTTCTTGAGGGCCCTCTGTCACTAGAAACAAATTAATTAAAAAACATTATAGGGGTGCCTGGCTGGCTCAGTAGATGCAGAGTATGACTCTTGATTGTGGTTTTTGTTTTGTTTTGTTTTTTTGCCATGCCCCTACCTTGGGCATAGAGATTACTTAAAAATAAAAACAAAATCTTAGAAAAAATACTGTTTTATATATATCCAAGAGGATTTGGAATAATGAAAGGGGTGTTTGCTTGTTGTCCAAGGAGAGCATGTGAAGTTCCCTCAGTCTCCAGGCATTGTTTCTCCCTCCACAGGTCCAGAAACCAGCTCTTTGTGTTCCGTATAGTCAGATGTGACTAGTTTCAGATCTCCCAGCACAAGGAAGGATGCAATTCTGTTATGACCCAGAGTGCCAAGGCTTTATATTGTCTGTATTAAAACAATGTAGACCTTTGTGGTGATTAATTTGCCCTGTTGTTTGGTCAAACACCAGTTCAGGTATTGCTGTGAAGGCATTTTTTAGATGTGATGAAACATTTGAATCAGTAGACTTCAAGCCCAGCAGATTCCCCTCCATAGTATGAGTGGGCCTCATCCAATCCGTTGAAGGCCTTAAGAGCAAAAACAGGTTTCCTGAATAAAGGAATGTTCCTTGAGACTGAAACCTAGAAAGCGTGCCTGACTTTGCAGCCTGCTGTTCTGCAGAATTCAAGTGCAAGACTGCAACATTAGCTCTTACTTGAATTTCTAGCCTGCCCTGAGGGTTTCATACTTGCCAGCCCTCAGGATTGCATAAGCCAATTCCTTGATATGAATGTCTCATTCTCTCTCTTTCTCTCTTCTTACCTCTATCTATCTATCTATCTATCTATCTATCTATCATCTATCTATCATCTATCAATCATATAATAGTATCATGTAAATCATGTATATACTATGTAATATTATATATTTAACATACACATACATTATATTGTTTTTGCACCTCCACAGAGCCCTGGCCAATACAAGCCCCTTCCCTCTGCATTTCCAACATCATTTCCTTTTTTTTTTTTAAGATTATATTTATTTATCTGAAAAAGAATACACAGCCTCTGCCGCCGCCGCTGCCGCCGCTGCCGCCGCCGCCGCCGCCCCCCCCGCCCCCCCCCGCCCCCGCCCCCGCCCCCTCCCTGCCCTCCCCGCTCCCCCCTCCCCCCTCCGCCTCCCCTTTCTCCACCTCCCCCGCCGCCTCCTTCTCGGGCGCTTCTGCCATCTCTACACCGCTCGGGCTCTCTGTCCCTGAGCAGCCGTGTTCGGTCTCCTTTGTGGTCCCGGGGCGCAGCCATGGCGGACGGCGGCGGCGGCGGGGGCCCCGGCTCGGTGGGCGGCGGCGGAGCGGGCCAGGCCTCGGCGGGGTCGGCAACGGGCGCGACGGGGGCCGGTGGGAGCGGCGGCCCCATCAACCCGGCCTCGCTGCCCCCCGGCGACCCGCAGCTCATCGCTCTCATCGTGGAGCAGCTCAAGAGCAGGGGCCTGTTTGACAGCTTCCGCCGGGACTGCCTGGCCGACGTGGACACCAAGCCAGCTTACCAAAACCTGAGGCAGAAGGTGGATAATTTTGTGTCAACACATCTGGACAAGCAGGAATGGAATCCTACAATGAACAAAAACCAGTTGCGAAATGGTCTGAGGCAGAGTGTGGTTCAGTCAGGGATGTTGGAAGCTGGAGTGGACAGAATCATTTCTCAAGTGGTGGATCCCAAACTAAACCACATCTTTAGACCACAGATAGAAAGAGCAATTCATGAGTTCCTGGCAGCCAAGAAAAAAGAAGCTGTGCCAGCGCCCCCTCCAGAGCCTGAGAGCCAGGACCCCCCAGCTCCATCCCAGGATGCTTCCTAAGAGTATGTCTGATGCCTTTTGGAAGCTCCATTGAATTAACCATGAAGAAATGGATTCGGTTACTTAAGAGTACAACTTCAGAATGAAGACAGGCCGAGGTCGTCACTGATTTCAGCATGCAGCCCTGACTGTGGGCAGTGTCCAGATTGAACAGGCAGTAGCAGAGTTGACCATGTGTGCTCCCTCATTGTGCTGCCATCTGGTCAGCCTGTCAAAGGGGATGACACCCAGTAGACACTACAGAGGTATAAAGAAACACTACATCAGTCTGGGGTTGTCCTGAATCAAACCTTTATACTTGAACTTGAAGACTGTGTGGATTTTAGGGTTTTTGTGTTTGGGTATCCCTAGAGGGGCTGTAGCTATAGTGAAGGAACGTAATCAGTTCCAAAGATGCAATTTCAAAGAATGACAGTGAAGGATAGCATGGAGTAGGTATTAGTGCTTATTTGTCAACTAGAATGTTTAAGCCATTAGCACCAAATAGCTCTAAAGTTGACGTGACCCTCTTGTACATGAATCTTGTAGCTTCGGCTTCTTTTCCTCTGTAAGAGGTGACGACACATGGGACCCTAGAATGTGAGGAAGTGCAGACACCAGGTATAAGGAAAAACATGTGCAGGCTCTCTGTCCAGGGCTGCTTCCTATCCTGCAAGGGCTTATGAATCTTGGGTGTGTTTATTTTATTCTCATGTTTGTGTTTTTTAGAAAAGTTGAATGATCAATAAATGGCTTAAGTTTTGTAATAAAAAAAAAAAAAAAAAAAAAAAAAAAAAAAAAAAAAAGAATACACAAACGGTGGGAAGGGACAGAGGGAAAGAGAGAAGCAGTCTCCTTGCTGAGCGGAGAGCCCAACAGGGGGCTCATTCCCAGGACCCCGAGATCGTGACCCGAGCCGAAGGCAAACACCCAACCGACTGAGCCACCCAAGTGCCCCCAACATCATCTCTTCAATGCCAGTTGCACCATTGCCCTGAGACTGCACCATCCATTTACTGCCCCATCATACTGGCTTCCAACTCCTGCTTCCAAGATTGTTCTTTGTGGTTACCACCAGGGCAGCTAGTGAGAAGGGGGCCTTGTGGCTGGTGGGTCCTTCCCATGCACAGGTGCAGCAGGGACACAGGGCACCCATGAGGGCCCGCAATCTCTCCCTGTGTATATCCCTGAGGGGAACAATATGATGAGGCAAATAAAAATGCCATGACCAATCACAGAAGAAAGGGAAAAGTGGGGAGTTTTTTGTTTGGTTAGGGGTATTTTAACACTTTTAATGGCACTCCCCCACTCTGCTTTTGATCAAAGGGCCCAATGTTCATTTTGCCCTTGGCCCTACAACTCAGATGGCCAATCCTACAGGGGCCCATGGGGGAAGTGAGAGGCACAATCCATTTGCACAGGAAATGTCTGTTCCTCATCCTGAGGCACGGCTCCTGTGGGAGAGCACATGTCAATAAGAGATAAAAAGAACAACAGCTGGAATGCCTGGGGTAGCTCAGTGGTTGAGTGTCTGCCTTTGGCTCAGGTTGTGATCCCAGGATCCTAGGATGGAGTCCTGATTCAGGCTTCCTGTGGGGAGCCTGCTTCTCCCTCTGTCTGTGTCTCTGCCTCTCTCTCTCTCTCTATCTCATGAATAAAAAAAATCTTTAAAAAACAACAGCAACAAAATCTGGTCCATCAGAAGCATCTCTAGGGCCCTAGTCAGCTAGGGTGACTGCCCCGGATGCCAGCAGCGAGGGGGCATAGAAAATGGGACAGAGCAGCAAAGAGAGAAAGGAGAAGCAAAGTACATGCGGGTCTCAGGCCAGGCAGGAGGTGCTCCATCCCAAAGGCACTGTCAGCCCAGCTAGCCCCAGGCAGTGGAAGGAACACAGACAATTTTGAGGAAAGTGCTCTAAAGCACAGACCCATGAGGTGCAAGGCCCGGACAGGTGCCCCCATTACCCATGTCTAAGGGAGCTATGTTTCTGAGCTCCCTACTGACAGCAAACAGCATCTTTGCCTTTAGTTAAATGTCATTATCTTTCTCAGTCTCAAAACCAAAAACCAAAACCAAAACCCTTTCAGAATCCAGAAGTCAAGAGACCAGTTTCTCATGGCTTATTCATGTACGGATGAGGCAGCCACTGGCTCTCTCGGGGCCTCAGTATCTCCATCTGTCCCAAGCTGATACTGTGACTGTAAGAAACAATGCTACCCTGCTTCCTTCCAGGTCATCAACACACACACACCCCAGGAGTCACAGCCCTGGTTCTGACTTTTGCAGTTGCCTTTATAACTTAACTTGAAATCCCTCCAACAAAACATACACCATATGCAATAATGATTGAACGAGAAGGGAGAGGCTGAAGTCAGGGAAAAAGGAAAAGCAGCCAGAAGAGGTGGTGAGAATTTCAGGAAAGAACACCACTGAGCTGAAATAGAAAGAAGAAATTAGAACACAGGCAGGGCGGGGCATGTCAGTCACCTCTGGAGATCCACGGGTGACAAATGTGGCAGCCAGATCTCTGCACGCCTTAGAGAGGAAAAAATGGCCTGGCCACTTCCTTCTTAGCATTTCTTCACCCAAGAAAATTTGAGTTTTACAAGGTTTGAATTTCCTTTCCCCAGCCACTCGTCATATTCCTGACACACTGGGGAAAATGAACTGTTCTTTTAGGCTCAAATGTGAATGAGTGGGGAGTTCCCAGGTTAAGGGGAATCCAGGCAAAGGTGAAAAATGGCCATCCATCCAAGATGCCGTTGGAGGAAAGAGCCAACCAACAAGGGTAGATCTCAAGTGTCTTCCTGTATACCCATCTAAGAGATGGTTGCTGAATAGGTCAGGGCTCTGCAATTTATTCCTTCAAAGGCTGACGTCTCTGCAGGAGAAGACACCATTTCCTGTGAGGCTGATGAATCAGAGGCAGTGGTTTACTTTGAGGAAATGCTTATGGGTCTGGGAAGACACAAAGAAAACAGGTGTTGGACATTTAGTAACCGAGAGCAAGTCTACCTGTGGAAGACACGAGGGGAAGAAAAACTGAATTTTTAAACCTGGAGTGGAGCTAGAAGCAGCCTGGGAAAACATTTCCTCAAATCACTAGAATCATGTGGAGCGGAGTATGGGCTCCTGCAAATGTTACAGACTCTGAAATCAGGCCTGGGACTGATCCTGGCTTCACCTCTTAAGAGCTGTATTATAGCTTTGAGCAATTGCAGTCACCATCCCAAACATTTACTGGGAAAGATTTATTGAGGGAGAAACAGTGTTATGTGCTTTGCATGCTTTATCACATTTAATTTTCACGTGGTACTGAGTAGATGCGGACGTGGTCCTGTTTTACAATTGAGGAAAATGAGTCACTGTTCTATAAATGAGGAAAATTTATACCCTGCCAGGTGGTGGCAGGATATTGGGTGGATTTGGCATGCAGATGAGTGATGGGTCGCTGCAGCTGGAGGGCTCTGCATGTCCAGGACTGAGGTCAGTAGAGAGCATCTTGGTGACCCAAACAGAGTAGGGGGCCTGGAGATGACGGAGGACCTGCACTTGACAGCATCACTTCTGGCCCTCAGGGCCCTGCGGTCCTCAAGAGACTGAGCTGGGATCCTTCACTCCATCCAGGACCTCTGCTTCTTCTGGGCCCCACATTTCCACATTTGTAAGATCTGAGCATTGGAACAGATGATCCCTAAAGGAAGCAAATTTAGGACTTCAGCCAGGATTGGGCCTTAGAAGCCACCATACTCAGAAGCTAGAGAGCCCAACCTTCCTGGAGAATAATTCTAGAAATGGACATGATGCATACAGAGTCTCACGGGGAACCAAGTACTTTCGCAGCCCATCTTAGGGCAAAGAAGAGGGAACCTCAGAGAAGTAAGCCCACTTGCCCACGATGACATCATAGCAAGTCAGCAGCACAGCAAGTCTTCAGAATTCAGTGATGTGCGGCCTCATCCTGGTCCCTTCACTCCCAGATCCAGGCTGGAGATGCCCTGGAGATGCCTGAGATAGAAGCACTGGTCAGATGATCCTTGAGGCTCTCAAACAGCAAACAAGAGTGATGTGGAAAGGCGGAGAGAATAGGGAGAAGACCTGCTGGGGGGTGAGGGGTTGGGCAGCCCCCTGCCCATGGGTCTGGGGTATGCAGACACTGAGACCACCAAATGCATGGATTAAAAGTTTCATGACCTAAACCAGACCTTGTCCTCACAGCATTCCTCCTGACGTATGGGAGAAGTGCATTGCTTTGCTGCACGTTCCTTGTGGCACATAAAATATCCTTGGCCCTGACCACCCTTTCCTCAAAGCTGGGATGATGAACTCCCTTCCTGGAAAAGCACCACTGAAAACTCTCCAGGCTTCCCCTCAACTAGAGACAGCAAAGCCACGGGCTAGAAACCAGAAGCCCTCATAGCCACCAGATACTCCAGGAGCCAGCTACCTCCCTGCCACCTAGGGGGTGAAGGTGATGGGATGGACATCCATCCATCCAGCACCCACCTGAGCCCATCCATCTAGCACCCATCTGAGCCCTAGGGCTAGCTCTCTGCACTCTTGGATGCAGGATGGGCCACCTGTCAGCACCAGAGCCTATCTGGCTGGCAGGCTGCCTGGGACACTGAGGGTCTGGGTGGTTGGGTGGTGGGTTTACTGACTGACCGACGACCATGGAGGGACAGACTGAGGTTTGCAAACTCAGGAGAGAAAGCCAGTTCCCTCCCTACACCCAGCCCACCCTCCATGCTCTGAGATTCTCTGACCTCAGGCACTAGCCTTCCTGGTCCCTCTTGGCTCAATCAGAATCTAATCACCTAAGCCTAGAATTTTGGAGGATCTTCGTCTTTGTGGCCACAGATATGATTATGATATTCTTGCTTCTCCAGCAATTCTTGTAGCTCTGGTAGCTGAGGGCGAGGCATTTGGGAATAAGAAGCCAGAGTCTGGAAAGCCAGACCAAAGATTCAGGGGATCGTTGAGGCTAAATCATTTCTCCTGACCCTGAACTTCAGGACATACTTCCCAGAGTGAGAGGGAGATGACGGCCATCCTCAAACGGAAGGGCCAACTCTTGGGACCCTCAGGACTCCGGGGAAGGCGCAGTGACAACCAGCCAGTTACCCTGATGAAAGGAGAAATGGTGCTTGAGGATGAGTACAGGGCTCACAGCTGGTGGCTTCAACGTAGGGAAGATCAGAGACTAACAGAGCCGAAGAAGCAGAGAGCAGCACAGAGTAAGAGATGGGAGAAAGTTAGAGAACAGAGTTCGCAGACTGAGAGTTAGTGGCAGAGACAGCTAGTCAAAGATCATGAAAGAAAAAGAAAGAGAAAACCAGTGAATGACCCAGACTGAGAAGGGGATAGATCTGGAATCAGGGACACGGTGAAGAGATAGAGAGAGAAACACAGAATTAAAGGCAGTCCTGCGGGTGCCTGAGTGGCTCCATGGTTGAGCATCTGTCTTTGGCTCAGGGTGTGATCCCAGGGTCCTGGGAGCAAGTCCTGCATCAGGCTCCCTGCAGGGCGCCTGCTTCTCCCTCTTCCTATGTCTCTGCCTCTCTCTGTGTGTCATTCATGAATAAATAAATAAAATATTTTTTAAAAAATGAAATAAAGGCAGTTAGACATGGGCAGATAATAAGAGTCACCAAGTGGGAAAAGAAACAGAAACTTCTGGATACACAGAAATACCACCAGTAGAAGCAGGTGGTCCACAGAACCTACAAGGCTGTGGGGCCACAGGGAATGGGTTGATGAAAGCAGTTCT